GCCGGATCCGGCCCGCGGGCAGTAGTTTGCCCATACGGCTGGTTTAGATGCTGCATGAGTCTATGAGAGCTTCGGCCACTTCCTCGTAACACCTATCACAGTGGTTTCTGCTTGTTTCTACCTCCAGATTCTGTCCTAGGCTAGATTCGAAGCTGTATGGGGACAACACAGGTCTGTCTCATCCATCGCTGAGTTCAGATTAGCTGCAGCGGGGCGAGCTGACCAGCACAGGGTTATCTGTGTGTAAGCCCCAGAACACAAGTGGGAAGGCTGGCTGGCTGCCCGCAGGCCCAGGTATCATCCAGCTACAATGATTAATGTTTGCTGTGTGTGAGAGGGACATGGGTGCACAGAACTGAGACCATCCTGGTCTTGGAGACCTCATGGCCTGCAGGCGGCAAGTGAACCCACTGGGTCCAGAGTGCTGGTGTGATACTGGTGAGCCCTCTGTGCTGTGGACACATAGGAGGCACACTCAGGGGTCTCAGTGTGAAATAAGGGCCATCCTCATTCCAGTTTTTCTGTCCAAGGACATGTTGAAACAAAGACATTCTGGGTCATGTTTGTCCTTTGATAACCTTATTATCTTGATATCTTCTTTTTTTTAAAAAAAAAATACATAGAAATGATTACAACAGGACAGCAAAAATGGGGAAACAAAGAAACAATCCCCAAAGGAAAGAAAAGGAGGAATTGCCAGAAAAGTAACTAAATGAAATGGAGGCCAGTAATTTGTCAGAGTAATGGTTATAAGGATGCTCAAATATCTGAATGAAAAATACATGCAGCTCAATGAGAATTATAAGGAGCCAAATGAGAATTTCACCAACATGAGTAAGAATCAAGAGCAAATGAAGAGTGACATAGCTGTGATAACACAATAGAAGGTTTCCACAGTAGATTAGAAGAAACTGAGGACTGAATCGGCGAGTTAGAAGACAAGGTAAAAAAATTATCTAAAGGAAAACCAAGAAATGGCAGTAAGCACATACTCCTTGACCTGAAGCACTTTGGGTGTGTTTCTTTGTGAATGAGGGGGAGCACAGTTCTCTGGCTCCAGGGGCTTCCTGTGGTGAGTGTGGGCAGTGGAGCAGAACTGTCTGAAAAGAATGCCTTACACCACTGCCCTCTGGGACGTGACCTTGGGACTGGGCAGAGGTCCAGGAGAGCTTCCTCCCTCCCCAGGCTCCACCCCTTCTCCCCACACAGGAGTCCTGCCCACTCACTACTGGGCAGGACTTGCCTTCCCTCTTCTATTCCTGGTGATCTAACTGCCACCGAAGGCAGGACTTTCACGGGAGTTCTCAGTGGGAGTCAGGGGAGACCAGAGAAGCCCTCAGAACATTCTTCTGATAATTTGCTCCATGGCCCTACATTTTGCAACTTCTGCCACTTCCTGCTGACTCTGCCTGCTGATTGTGACGTCTCTTCCAACTAGTAGCCTGAAGGTGGTGGTTGAACCTGGTGGTCATAAGTATACATCACCTTGCATGTCAGTACACGCTGAGGGTCACCCTACATATCAGTACACACTGAATGAGTGTCACCCTGCACGTCAGCACACGCAGAACGAGTGTCACCCTGCACGTCAGCACACGGGGACCTAGTGAATCTGTCGATGACAGTCTTAATAACTATCTTACCAGTGGCATTTATTATTGAATACTTGATGCCTGACACCCAATGAAAGCCACTTTGGGGGTTATTCGGGAGGACAAAGAAGGAGTGTTTGCGTTGCTTCTGTTTAGTTTGGAAGTTGGCATGAGGAAGCCATTGCCAAGTATTGAAACTGCCGAATGCAGCATGCCCAGCCTTTCTGGACACCTCCTACTGAAAGGCACCTGCCCCGGAGGCCTTCAAAGAGCTCATGCCCATGACCAGCAGGTGGCAGTCTCATCCTAGGGTTGAGAAACAGCAAGTGGCAGCAGAGGGTCAAGAGCATTTCATACCCCTTGGAAGTGCCTCCTCAGACAGCATCTCACCCACCTTGCCTGTCTGCAGGTGCCAGGGCTGGCTTCCTGCCAGGCTCTAGCTGCTCGTGGGAAAATGGCTGTTACAGTTAGTCCCAGCTGGCTCACAGGAACAGGGCCTGTGTAGAATGCACATGCGGGGCTCCTGGTTCAGAATTTCCTGAGTGTTAGTGCAGTCACAGCCGTGAGGCAGCATGCTGAGGGGTTCAGAGGTCACTCCCTGTCCACCTCTGCCATCGCAGCTCCTGTGACACAGAGCACGGCACTTAACAGAGTCACTGCATGCTGTTCACCGACCACGGAATCTGGCACCGGGACGGGGTTGTAGAGACCATCTAGTCCAATGGCCTCGTAAAGAGGACTGAACTATGTTCCAAGAGACCAAGTGACTCCTGTGTCCTGAGCTGGTGATGTCACAGACTGCCCTGAACTCAGGGTCCTCACTCCCAGGCGAGGCTCTTTCCCCGCCTGAATCAGGGGGTCCCGCGGGGGTGAGGCCGACGGAGTCCTAACGAAGCATACCCGACTCCGGAGACCAGGTTCAGTGACGCAGATCCAAGTTTATTGTGTGAGTGCAGCAACATATATAACTATCCAGACCAATCAGAAGTTTACAACATCCATAGGGCAACCAATAGTAGGAAAGATCAGGGTACTATGTAGGGGTTCTAGGGGGTCTGCTCAGGCGGGCGCTGCCACTTCCCCAGTGTGCCGAGGAAGCTTGTATAGGCGGAGTGTGCTCACACCATTGCATCTGCCACAGCACTGAGATAAATCTCCTGAGCTCTTCCTACACCCGCCCCTACCCCCCAGGCTGGTGAGGCCCCAGGCTGAGGGCCTCACTCCAGGTGAGGCTCTCCCCTGATTCCTTGGCTTTGCCATCAGTCAGACACACTTTTTGCTCTGTTCTCCCTACAAGAGAAGGGCATAGGTGTGAATCACTAATATTGAGTACAAAAATCAAGGCTGGGCACTTGCACTTGAGTTAGTGAGTGGAAGACAGAGTGTGGGAAGTCTGGGATCCCCACCCGCTCCTGAGCCCAGGAGGAGCCATCCTGCGTGCCTGGGCATGGCACCCATCCGCAGTCAGTGAATGGGAGGTCTCAAAAGTGTGTCGCTCCCACTTCTCTGGCTCGCTCCTGCCTTGGAACCTTTGCTCCAGGTTGTTTCCTCCTGCAAGGTTCTCATCCAAGACACTTCGACGGATATCTTGTTTCCAAACTGGCTGTCCTTGATGTCCACCTTCAGACTGTCCTCGACCACATTGTTCCCTACAAGCAGGAGGGATGCAGTGAAGTCAGCACGGGTTCTGCCTTAACTCAGCATCACCATTCTCCACCATTCCTAGGGGTGGGGGGAGGAAGAGGCAGGGGGAGGTGGAAGGCCTGAGGGCGTGGCCTTGTAGACCTGCAGGTGCTTCTGCAGAAAAAGTCCCTGCCCAGCAAGCTATTCTCCCCAAATCTGAGAAAAAAAATAAATGGAACATGGAATTATAGAATCTTAGAACTAAGTAATTGAAATGAAGTGATCAACCTTTTTGTCTCAGAGTTAAACCAAATTCTAGATATGACCAATGAAGGTTTAAAATGACATTCATCCATGT